GAGATTCTGCATGAATGTCCTGTGAAGTTTAGAGTCCCTGGATAGATTTAACCAGTAAAACCCCCTCAACTACGATTTGTTAAATTCTATGTTGTTACATAATTTAAAATAAATTCATCTGTAAAGGCTAATACCACACACAAGTCCAAGCTTTCTCTGAAATCAACAAAATACTGCTAGTACAATGTGACAGAAGTGCTAATGTTCGTTTCATGTAGTCATGTTTATTAGTAAGAATATGCTATGTCTTCTGTCTGAACAGAAATGGAGAAATTTGGAAACACTTTAGATAATGGCAGCATTAATATTTTGTACATACAAGAAACCAAATACTCTAAATACTTACTGGGAACATACAATTGAATACGTAAAGTGAATGACCAGATAACTATCAATAAATTAAACTTAGCAATTTTTAATCTCTAGCCCACCCAGGAATCAGAACCAGTTTTACTGGCCAGGAATTTGACTACAGTATAATGGCTCTTGGTGTGTATGTACAGTGCTCTCCTGTAAGACAATGAGTAGACGAGTAAACAAGATAAGACTGAGAGAACAGAAACAGAATGCGCAATCAAGGAACAGGGATATACGTTACGAAAAAAAAATACTTATAGAAATACAATATATGTGTATATACACATTTTAAATGAAAGTTTAAGATAAATTTAGACAAAGGTATATTTACAAGGTATTGCAATGAGAGTTGTCATTCTCTTACACAGTCACAGGTACAGTACTACAGTATTTTATTGATACCCCATATACAGTATATACTAAACTCTTGAAATTGTCAGGCTGCAATTGAAAGAGGAAATTTCTTTGCATTAAAATAGAATTGGATCTGCAGCCATGTGTAAATATGGTTCACTCTTCAATCCCACATGTTTGGCCTGATGTATTTCCACCTACTTTATCAATGTGGTAAGATAAATTACTATCAAGTATTCTTTACACAAGATTATCCAGTGCAGTAATCTAGACTAAACTTGCTGTACCCACTATGCTTATTTCATTTCTTATTAGTTTTTTTTTAAACTGCAAATACAGTATAGTACTCTTACCCTTTATTTGTGTCTTTTTGTGATGCGATGGGATAGTTTCTCTGAAATGTTCCATGTTGTTGGTTTAAATAACAAAGGAAATTAAGGGAAAAATAATAAAACTTCACCATACCATATAGCAACTTAAGAATCAGCTTCTCCTTTACTACTTGTACTTACTTGTACACTTCACACTCTCTCTCCAGGTCCTTCCTAGCGATGAATTGTTGAGGGACCTTCTTTACAGCAGCCCAGGTGTCATTGTATTTCTCTTTGTAAACCTTCCCAAAACAACCCTCTGCTATAGTTTTGGTGGAGTACGCCATCTAAGAGTGAGGGTAAGGTCATTTATATAACCATGCTGGAGCCCAGAACCACAAAAAGTTTAAATGCAACAGTGGGAAATGCCTTTTTGGTGAAGACCTTAATGATTATTGTTTGAGACTGTCAAAAATGAGGATGCTGTGCTTTGTGGTGCTTTTGATTGATATTCTGTACTTTCTACCAATGTTTACGAGGTTCTTTTTGTAAGCACTATTACTGTGCAGGGTTCCTGTTTTCAGCATAGATGTTGTGAATTTTGGGACTTTCCTCTGCCACTTTGCTCAATATAAAGTGTCTGTGACTACTAAGCTACTATGATGATCACAGTTAGCAGGATTTATTTAAAGAGCAACCAAACTGAATAAAACTTATGGCAGTGGTGGGAAGTAACTATGAACATTCACGCAAGTACTTTACTCAAGTATACTTTTAATACTTTTAAAATACTTGTATTTTAGTTGATTATGCTACTTTATACTTCATCTTTTGACAGCTAGTTTCTTTGGTGATCAAGGATTAAATATAAAATATGAGTAGCCATTTTTTTTTGATGTGTTACTGCATTTAAAAGCTTCATACAAGGAAATGCATCACTGAAAATAATCTAATACTATAGTATAATACAGGCCAGTCTGTTGCCAAATAAGAACTTTTTTCTAATACTTTGAGTACATTTTGTTGCTAATTCTTATGTACTTAAGTAGACTTTTAAAAGTAGGATCTTCAAATCTTCTTTTTTATTACAGTTACAGTAAATCTGCCAACAGTCAGAGTGAAAGCATACATATGTTCAAATGATTGGAATCAGCATTCTCCAGAAGGGAGTGTCACCTGTGAATAATGGGTGCCACAGCCCGATCACCCCACTGAGCTCCCTGGTCTATGTCAGTAAATTAGGTTTGTTATATAAATCATTCAGCAAGTTGAAGATATACTATGGGCAGTGATTCACAAGTCTGGAACCAGGACAGCCTGAATCCTTAACAAAACAACTAACAAATTAATAATACAACAAGCTGCTCCTCTCATTATAAATCAGCCATAATGGAACCTGTTGTGTAAATAACAGCTCCAGTGTCCTGATCTGAATAGTCATACTGTTATATGAATTTAAAAGACTGACCCACAGTCAATATTTTGCAGTTCATTTCACACAGACATGTGTGTTATATAAAGCAGACCAACTGGTAAGCCCAGAAGAGGAAAAAATGTTTGTCTGTGATCTGGTACAGCTTGTGATGTATGCACATAAAAACCACTGTCACGTTAAACTTACTGCAGCTAACAGCATTAAGGAATAGTTATAGCACCTGAGACAGTACATATCCTCAAAGGAAAGACTGAGTGTTAGAAAAAACTGTAATAACCAGTGAAAATAAGAAACGCTCATCAGCAAATTCATTCTGTTCAATAAAGGCTATGATTAAAACTGCCTACTATAATCTATTTGATCAATACAGGAAGGAAACAGAATAAAAAGTTTAACAGTAAATTTAACGATGCACTACTACCTTACAAATTTGGGGATTAAAATGGATAATTACATGTTGGCCTACATTCTTCAATAGAAATGTTCCTACCTTGTGCTGTAGAAGGAAAGCAGCTGTGTCAGGTCTGAGCATGACTTAACATAGTTGTTTGCCTTTATACTTGTTCCACACCTTCCTGCATCTGGCTCATGGAGATGTAGGCACGCCTGCCTCTTGCAAGCCTGGCTGGATGTCAAGAGCAAGAAACACGGTGTAAATATTAACATAAGATATGACATATTGGCAAATAATTGCTGAATTACTCCAACATTTTATGCACCCATTCATGGTGCCCAGAGGATGAATCATACTGACGGACCTTTTCTTTAGTGCCACCATTAGGTTGACACATGTGGCATTGAAAGACATATCCACCAGGACACTCACAACATTTTTGTCAGTCAAACTTGTGGTACAGGTTACTTCAAACAGAGAGGCTCTGCTGTGACAGGGGTAAGCCTAATTACATTGCTTTGCTAATACTAATGCGCCTTACTGTGGACTAAATGCACTGTGCAGCAAAAAAGGGAAAACGTAATATAAAAAATAAAATAGAAAATAAATGTGACCAGCAGATACTCAATATAAAGGATCATTATATAAATAGCCCTATATTTGACTAAGCCCTGTGACTTTCCAGCAAACATTACTTACAGTAAGTTTAAAGAGAGGGTCTGGCTTAGGGGCCCCTTGAGCTTTTTGGCCCCTCACTCTTTGCTAAGTAAGCATATTCAGAAATCCATCCATGGTCAGAGATAAATTGGTGTGGTTACTGAACAGACGGGTGACAAATTAAATGAAAATTACATTAAGCTGCTTGGCCAAAATGAGCCTCCATAGGATCAAGGCTCCTTTTCATAGGTTCTCCAAGTCTCCGATCAACAGCTTTCTTCTAAAATATATACCTCCTTTTCGTGATGGTTATGGAGAATAACTGATCCAAAATCTACCATGAACTGTGTTCATTTGGATTAAGATCTGACAAGGAAGGTCTTGGCGCCTCTACCATTTTCATTCATTGACTTTTAAGATGCTGTAGCATCTATATTAATTATGTTTTTCTGAGCATTTATTCAGATTTTCCTTCAGTACATCAGTCTGGGGGTCTTTGGAACGCACAGGAAATATTTTTCCATGTTTCCACACCCAGTTCTAGTGAAACAAACTTCCTGCAGCATTATTCACATACTGTAAATGCCACTGTGAGTGCTACTGCTGTCATTAGCTGGCACACTCTATCTTAAGTTTATTATAAAGTGAGGAGCTGCTCATAGAGTTTTGTTCAAATGGTGTAGTTTAAAATGTACCGAACAAACTGCTGCTTGTTAAATAATTTTAGAGCATGTTTTTTGGGCGGGAGCGCATTGTAGTAACTTGGAAACAAAATTTCACAATAAAAAAAAAAAAAAAAAGTATTAATTTAAATGAATTTTAAAAGGTTTTTTTTTGGCCTCTTCTTTTTTTTTTTTTAAATCCTAGTTGAGACCCCTGTCTGGTAGAATAGTTTCAGTAATGAGATCAGGAACCGGGCTGATTTACAGGGTCTGGAAACAGATCCTAATGAAACCGTTTTAGCTACATTATAGATAATGATTCACCAGGAAGTGAATCTGCTAACTTTTCTTTTTGGTGCTGTTTCTCTTGTGTTTCTTGTTTCCTTCTCTGTGAGGCAAGAGGAAGAAACAGAGAACTGCGGTGTCATGCTATGATTCTTCTTCAGTGTAATAAAGAACTCACTGGAGATAAAACTACAATAAAATATAAAAATAAATGCTTAGTGGAATATTATATTCACATGTAGTTAGGACAAACTGCTTATGATCATGCAAGACACATTTTAATGACAGGTATGAACACTCACTTTTTCTTCCTGTGTGTTACACATGTGAACACATGGGCAGATCAGTCTGTAGCTTTGGATAATAGTTACAAAAACAAATGCAGTAACTTGTAAAAATCCGCTTTGAGTCCCTCAAAACAAAATCACAATTTAGAAAATATGAAATGATCCTTCCACTAGATGGAGATCTCGTAATATAATTACGTCACAAGGAGGAGATATAGCTGCACTCTATTTCCTGGATTGCCCTTTTTGCCTTGAAGACTGGACCTGACAACACGTTGTCTTCTGTGCTGTTGCTCATTTTGATAACAATGACTCATCCAATAGATGATTTTCCCTCTGCTCAGCCAAAGAGTAAGTTTGTTTAATTTCTCTGTTTCATTACTTTAGGTGGCTAGTACAACGGTTCCTAATGTGCTCATCCTCAAGCACCTTGACTCATTCATGGCCTGCAGCCTGTCTGATGGCATAACTTCAGTGTCCGCTCTCTGCTAAACACGAACATCTTATGATCAAATTCATGGTTCAGAAACAAAAAAGTAATAATTCTGTTCATATTTTTTCAGCTGAAATTGTGCCAGTAAAAAAAAAACAAAAAAAAAACAACTAACAAATAAATCAAAAGCACGAGTTAGTTCATGTCCCTGTTGCAAACATATTCCCACAGGGGGACCTGTAGTTGTGCTGTTATGCAGTATTATCTGATGCTATACTGTATATTTTATTGGTGTCACTATCAGAGGGATTTCTGTGGTCAACATTAAAAAGTGTTTTTATCAGATGAAAGGATAATTTCAAAAAGTTAACACAATACATATAATTGGTTAGTATTCTTCCTTTGTAATTGAAACTAAACTAAAAATAGAAGAAATGCCTGTTTGCAAATAAAAAACCTAACTTGAATGGATGTTTATACTTGAAGGTTGCCAAGGCATACACACCCAGGAGAGCGGGTATGTTCTCTCTTTTCTCTTTTATTTTGCCTTTAAACACATATGTAAGATTAATGTGAAAGTCATGTGATTAGCTGCTTGTAGTGTTTGTCCCCATTGATGCAGCTAAAGTGTGATCATTGGTTCGGATTAATTTCATACTGTAAAAAACTGGATGTATTTTTGTATGTTGCAAAGAAATTATTCCTTTTTTCTTATACAGTGATGCTGGCTTCTCCTCTGACATGAAGCACAAGCTCATTGATTATTACAATGAAAATACTTCTGTGAGACCCATTCCTAAGGAGGAATCATACATCTCTGAGACTGGAATGGCAGGAAATGGTGTGATGTCTGTGCCCCTTGCTGAAGAAAGTTTTACTGGCTATGCAAAGCCTGAGTCACACTCTGTGTCTGCTGAGGGGGGGTTATTAAAACCATCTACTGTAGTTGTGACTCAAGAAGACAACTTTCCACAACAAGCCACACCAATAGCGCGATCAAAGAAAGGCCTGGAGGAGGAAGTTGCCACTGCTTTAACCGGAACAACAACCATTACCGAGGTACGACCGGATGTAGAGGGAATAGCTGAAGGTGGCTGCATAATTAACACGGACATGAACAAAGTGGGAAATGCAGAAGAAATAAAAGGCCCTGGGGAAATGAGAAACAGGAACCGCCCCAGGAAAAGAGATGCTGGGAACAGATGGAAAGGTAATTAAATTTCAGATACTGATTTTAAATGGTTGCCAATGTATTTAGGGAGCATACCACGTTTGTACTCAATTTATAAACGATATGGAATACATCCATCTCTGAAACATTATTTAAGTAATACACACTCAGTGGCCACTTTATCAGCTGTACCTGATCAATCTATTGCGATTCATTGTAACAGTTCTGCCATAGATTTATGATGTTTTTAATGTTCAGTTGTTGCTGACATTATTGGAAATATGTGATTTCATGTGTGATTTTTTTTTTTTTACTGGACTAGATTACATTAAGATATGTTTGTGATTTTTTTTCACATTTACACATGGCCGGCAGAATATTAGAAACGCCTCTCAATATAATAGAGTCCAGTATGAACTCAATGCTAGGCACATTATTTATTTAACACCTCTAAGATGTTACAACAACAGAAATAGCTCATAACCCTTACAGGCACCCTGAAAGTAGAGTTTATAGTAGGAGAGCTGTAACAAGTTACATCAAATTGCACAGGTGTACCAAATAAAGTGACCTGTGACTGTATATCTCAGCTGTGATATGGAGTAATTAATGCCAGGTTAGAGTTGAAAAACAATTCATGAGGAAACTGATTGTATTCATTTTGTTTGTATGTATTTTCAGTGTGCTTTTCGTGTTTGGTGGCATTTACACTCTTTGCTACCATCTGTGAGGGCCTTCCAGGTATGTGATGAAACTACTAAACAGTGCATCCCTATACTACCATTATTTTTTTACATTGTTTTGAGTACAAGGTAAAATAACTTTTTACAATATACTCTGACTACTCTTTTCACCATTAATGTACATTATATTTTAACTACTATATTTTTCATATATCAGAATCAGAATCTGCTTTATTGGCCAGGTGTGTTGCACACACAAGGAATTTGACTCTGGTACATCGGCTCTCAATGTGCAGACAGTAAACCAGCATAAGGCTGTGTAATATAACAAAAATAAGCAGTATTTACAAGCAACAGAAAGTGCAAACAATGCAGAATAAGCAGTATAAACAGACAGTAACAATGCAGACAACAAAGGAATGTTCATTGAATTGAGATAAATAGAGATAAAACAGAGTACTTAAGAACTAGAGACCTGTCACAGGTGCTGAACCCGCAGGAGACCAAAAGTGTAAGTTAAGACATTTAATAAAACTGCAGTGATTATTTTTTTAATCTAAATTATATCATATCAAGAGTTTTTAAGCACCCTGGCTGTAAAATTTGAATTGACATGTGTACACCTGGGAGCTCTTCTGTCACTCTTTTTTTTTTCTTCTGCAGATAAGTGCTTCACCTGCCTTGATAAGGAGAAATGCCAAAAAATCAATGCCATACATGGCTTGAACGACGAGCATCTGTACTATAGAGAGCCTGGACAAGCATTCCCAGAATGCTGTGCAGTCTCTTCCTCTAATCATAGCTGCACTGTGTGCATCATCCAAGCCAACATCACCATCATCTGCCCTGAGGCTGTAGGCACACTGGAAGTGGAAGATGTTGATTCAAATCTTTTGAGCATCTCTCCTTTCTGTATGTATGACATGAATGCATTAAACATGAAATCCTCATAAAGTTTAATCAGTTGTTTCTTTGGAGTGCTTGATGCCAGTTTAATTTTTTCCCCTCACAAGGTGAACAGAAACAGCTCTGTAGCGGTGCCATACGATCTATGGGCCATCCACATTATGGAGGGATTTGTAGCTTGGGTATGTATTTAACACAAGCACTGAATGTCACTACAACACAGACATCAACAGGAATTTCCCTGCACAATTGTGTGTAGGCTGTTTTTTTTTTTTTTTTTTTTTTTTTTTTCACAGCTTTCTGTGTTTATTCAGGATCAAAATCTGTGGAGTAATGTAAAAGAAAGTGTTCATTCAGCTAACAACGGTTCATTTTTTAAGCAAAAGTAAGCACAAAAATGCGTTAAAGCAACTAAAATACTTTTGCACAGGGTGTAAGAAATCATTAAAATTTGTTATTTCATCTACATTTCAACACAGTGTGAACATCTGTGAACATTCCCCAAGCATAAATGTTAAGGAAACATGGCCACTGAAATACAAAGTTCAGTTTCTTTACATGTGGGCTGCTGGCCTGGTGAGAAGTAGGTGACGTGCGGTCAGGGGAGGCAGGTGAGGCAGAGCCTCCCCTGTCAATCTTGAAAAGAAAAAAAAAGTTAACCATAAAATATA